CAGTCTGAAAAAGAAAACCCTCTGCTTCTCTAAGACAACACTGAGAAAGTAAGAGCAAGCAGCACATGGGCAGAAAAGATGAGCACACTATCTGATAACAGTCTGGTATCTAAATTACATTAAAAATCAACTCACAAAGAAGACCCCCCCACACATACACACATACACATACACACACACACACACACAAAATTGTAATTAAATATGCACTGAAGATCTGGATAGACTTCCAAACATAAAAATGACCAAAAAGCACATCAAAAGATGTTCAACTTTGCTAGCCAATAGAAAAATGCAAATCAACCTCCCCAAAAGCAAAACACCACTAGAACCTTTTCAAAAATAAATAAATACCAAATGTCAGTGAGAAGGCAAAGTAACTAGAACTACCATACACTGCTAAAGGACATGCAAATGGACACACCCACTTTAGAAACTTCTAGAAGGGTCATATAAGTTACCATAACACTAGTAAAGTCATACTTCTAGGTATTTACACAAAAGAACTAAAAACTAACAGAGTAAGAGCAAACACTGTATGAGGTTCATAATATTCTAAAAGGCAAAATTATTACAACAGGAAATAGCTCAGGGGTTGAAGCGGCCAGGGAGAGAGATGAGAAGAGCAGAGTGACTGCAAACAGCTTCAAGGAAACTTTTTGGGGTGATAACTATACTATAAAGTGGGCTATTCTGCAGGCAATAAACTAGAAACTCACCAAGTTATACAGGAAAATTACTGACTTTTTTGTGTTAAACACACTATAAGAAACTCCGATTATAAATAGAGAAGAGAATTACATTCTAAGAGAGTCACATGGTAAAGGCTGCTCACCCACTGAGACCAGGTGACTCCAGTTCTCCAGCATCACGTCTCTGTACAGGGCCCTCTGCCCAGGGTCCATGTACCGCCACTCATCCTGGGTGAACTCCACAGTCACGTCCTTGAATGATACAGATGCCTGTAAAGCACATTTCCTATTCAGTCTGAAGGGCTCGTGTTTGCTATCAAGAATTTTAAAACATAATTTTATAAAAGATGCCTTCTCTGACCATATCATTTTGCTCTCTATTGAGGGTACACACATCATTAAATATAAATACATGCCCACAAAGTATCTGCACTTCTTATAGACCATCTACACACATAGCCTGTCAGTAAATGTAATACTGATAACATTTAGTGTCTGCTTTTGTAGATAGTTATAAATAGGCCTCCCAGAATCCTTTTTTGTATCCCGGTGCACTCTTCTGAGTACTGTCTAGGGTATACACACTCTCTTGAAGTGCTATGTTGGGACATGGGGGATCAAAAAGTTAATTCCTGGTAGTAAGCATGATCACACCTGTCTTTCAGAAGAAAGCCATACCCAGTAGAATTCAAAGAATAGATTTTCAGTGGAATTCAGAAGAGAATAATTATTCAGAAAAGAATAATTTAAGAACCTTGCAGACATTACACTAATAAGTTATAAAGAGAAAGACAAAAATCATATGGCCTCTTTTATATGTGGAAGTTGAAACAAAACAAACCAAGCTCACAGATACAGAAATCAGATTAGTATTGCCACAAGCTGGGGATGAGGAGGTGAAGTCTCTTGGTTTTGTTGTTATTGTTTTTCTAATTTGTGCAAAGTAAATTAAACTAAAAAAAAGTATGATTTTAGTAAAGTAAAACATCGGGAAAGAAAAATGCACAACTGATCCCCCGATCCCTATAAGACAAAGGAAAAAAGTTAATTTTTTGTACAACTGTAGACACAGAAGCTACACGAGCAACTGGACAAATGCTAACAGCCCCGTGAAGTAACAGAAAATGTAGGTATCTGCCACCCCATCTGACACAGACCTCCTAAACCCTTGTAAAGAGCTCTAAGAACATCCTTTGTGCTAATGAGGAGATGCTGAGTGGGTTCCAGGATGGAGCCAATCACCAGGAAGTTCAACCCATAATTAGAAGTTCAGACCTTTTAGACCAAATTCTCTAGAGGCAAGAGCAGTTGGAAATACAGGTAATAATTACTCAACCTTATGTGACTAATCCTTTTTAAAAAAATCCCAAAGTACGGAGTTCAGAGATTGCCTAAGTCAGTATATCCACATACCCCTACTCTGTGGGGACATTGCGTCCTTCACTCAGGACTCTCCTGACCTGGATTGCTTCATCTGGCATTACATCTCTGAACCCTTCCATCAACTGCTAAACGTGCTTCCCTAAGTTCTGTGACCACTATAATTAGGTAACAGACCCAATGAACCCATGGTAGGAACTTGAGAAGATAGGTAACAACTGGACTTGCAACTTGCAATTTGAAGTGAGGAGGGAGCAGTTTTGAGGGACTGAGAACTAAATCTGTAGGGTTTGATGCTATTTCAGAGAGTGTTCAAAGTTGAGGTAAACTGCAAGATACCCTAGTGGTACAGCAATGTATTGATTGTCAGGAAAGACAAGCAATGGCTAGGGATCATATGTAGTAAGGTAACCTGTGTGAGCAGTAAAGGAGACATACAGGAGGGAAATACATACACTGAAATTACAAAAACAACAGTAAGATAAAAGGCAGATTTCTTCCTTTGCACTTAAAATATCTCTCAACATGTAAATGGAATTAGATACTGCATAGATACTGCATTGCTAGTTAAATCATTTTAGAAAACAAAAGGTTGAAAATTGATGTAGAGAATCACTGCAATCACACACAAAATCAAAACTTTTGAAAACTGAAAAGTAGATTCTAAAACTATATGAAGTAGAACATTTAAAATAAATCCAATTTCATTACGAAAATAAAAGTGTTGGGAGATTCATATTGCTCATTTTAAGCTATATTCTAGAGCAACAATAATCCATGTAATATGGCACTATCTAAAGAACTGACAAAGCTCATCGGATGAAATACTGATCCAGAACTAGCACCACAAAGAATATAAGGTAAAATGGCCCTCCCCGGTGGTACAATGGGTTAGGATGCAGCACTGCAAGCCTCAGAGTATAGCCGACTTCTCCTTTCTCGCCCTCAGAGTGTACTTCTTTGATCCGCCTGTTCTGTCTCCCACTCTGTCTCTGATGAATCCTTTGCCCAGCCCCTGCACCTCTGGCCTGTACCCTAGTTCTGTATGCAGAAGGTATATGCTTTTATAAAATGTGCTTGAAATTACCAAACAAATCTAACAAATTATCTTAATCTCTGACTTGCATCATAAATACAAAATCAACTCAACATATTCACAGACCTGTCATTATAAAACTAGCAGAAAAACCCCCAGCCAACAGTCACAAAGAAATACATCAAAGGTAGAGTACACACAGGATATCAACAATAAATTAATACTAGAAAATCCACTATGCTATTCACAAGACTTACCGATGAAAGAAATTAAGTCTTTCAGTCTATACAGAAAAGTAATCAATAGAATTTAAAGCACATTCATGACTACACTGAAATCTAAGCAAACTGCTAAGTAGAGGGGAATATACTCATCAGCAAAGATTACTACTAAAAGCCAACAGTGAATATCACAGCTAATGCTAAAACTCTGTCTTTCCTCAATGTATTCACTGCTCTTTCCTCTTTCATTCATTGTACAGACTACTTTTTTTTTTTAAAGATTTATTTATTTATTCATACAGAACTGGGATACAGGCCAGAGATGCGGAAGGTGAGAGGATTCACCAGAGACAGAGTGGAGAGCAGAACAGGCAGATCCACGAAGTACACTGCTGAGGGGAGCAGCGGGCGGGTCAGGAGAGGTCTGCTGCGCCATGTGGATCTCCTCCAGGGCAGGTGGGGATCGAACTCATGCGGAAGTAGCTTTTGATTCTTAGTACAGTGCTTTAACCCACTGAGCCACCAGGGAGGGCCCTGTACAGACTACTTTTATAAATCTCATAAAGCCAGGTCAGTACAAAGTACGAGATGAATAAAGAGCTCACCTGGAACATGTCTGTTCTATTGCTCTGGGGACAGTGGAAAGAACTGGAAGGTTCAGCTGGAAGGCCTGGAAAGGAACCTGTAGCACCACCTAGTCACATAAGATTCAGAAATGGTCATGTGCACCAAAACCAATAGCTTTTCAAGCACAAAAAATAAATTTTCTCTTATTAAATGATAATTTGTTTTCTGAACAATTAATAGAAACTAACACAGTAGCAATAATTTAAAACAATAAATTAATACTAGAAAATCCACAATGCTATTCACAAGACTTACCGATGAAAGAAATTAAATTTAAATTTATTTAAGTTAACATAGTAAAATCCTCAGGCTGCAGCAGTAACACTTTTCCTATTAGTGCTATTTTCTAACACTTCTCTCAATGGAGAAAAGGTCACAGAAAGTTTAGTAAAAGGAATATGGAATGCTTTAAGACAAGATCATTTCATTAGTTTTTACTAGGTTACATTTTCTCAAAAGGTCTTTTTCTTAAGATGTTTTAAGTGAATTACCTTGGAAAAAGTCAACAGCACTGTGTTTCCCTCCTGGGTCTGTCAAAAAATGGGCTTCAAACTCACAAGACACCGAATCTCTGAGGTCCATTTTCTTTAAAGCTTTTATGAGTCAGAAGCAGATAACCATGGAAACCCTTGGTGAGCCAACATTTTGGGATGCTGTGAGGTCAGTATAATTCAGTAATGTCACATGTGATGGACATGTTGCAAACAGCACAGCATCTGTAAAAAATGAAGAATGCAGGAATCAGGGGGCAGTTAGCAAATGTGGAGACAGAATTCTACTCCCCTGGCATGTTATCCCTCCTCCACACCTCACCCTCAGGAGCTCACCCACAAAATAGCCTTTTCTGGGCAACATACTCTAGGACTATCCTAACTCACTTCCTCTTCCCAAGGTTGACCCAAATATCCGGTCATACAGTGTGGCCACTTCTAGATGTGCCAACATCCCAAATCTGGGCAGGGGAGATCATGAACTACTCTGTCCCTGTAAACTGAGGCACTGCTCCTCTCTGTGCTTTTCCTCTGTTCTGAAACTCTAGTGAGGAGAGTTAAGTACAGGGATATTTTCTTCCAGGTATGGTCCCATTCAGAGATAACCTAATTCCAACATCACAAGAACTGCTTTGTTCTAAAGTAAATTTGTTTTCTTGTGATCTGGATCTGGAAATCAAATTCACTTTAGGAACAAAAACCCTGACTCCCCTAGAAGGCACTATAATTGCACACTTAAAACACAGCCTGCCGGGCTCTCCCTGGGAGCGCAGTGGGTTAAAGCACAGCACTAAGAAGCTAAAGCCACTTCTGCATGAGTTTGATCCCCGCCCCGGAGGTGGAGGTGACCACATGGCCCGGCAGACCTCTCCTGACCTACCCACTGCTACCCTCAACTGTGACCTTGTCAGTCATCCTGTTCTGCTCCCCACTGTCTCTGGTGAATCTTCTCACCCCCCCTGCACCTCTGACCTGTACCCCAGTTCTGTATGCATAAATAAATAAATCTTTAAAAAAAAAAACACACACAGCCTGCCAGCTAGGGAGGAACTAGGAGCCTGACGCATAGATTCAATGTGACACCAGAAATCCCATTATATATTTGACAGTGGAGAGACTGTATTCACTTCCTCTTCCAATATATTTTTCTGCACATAAAGGGGCAGGTCTATGTACTAAGTTTTGTGAAGGGTGTTAATATTGGTTTGGAGTTGTAATAGGCAGATGAAGCCTGAGACTGAAAATACCCCTACCCTTAAATGGGAGTTTCCTCATTGCCAGCTTTGACCTGGGCACATACTCAACAAACCTGAGCTTCAGCTGCTCTCCCTCCCCATCTGCCATGGTAATGCCCTAGTTAAGTGCCTGTGAGGTTACACAGGCTCCCCCACCCCCATGAATTGGACACATTACTCAGAGGGCTATTTCTTTTAAGTGTAGTAACTCATCTCTCAGAACAGTGCTATTATCTTCAAATGTAAGCTAAAAAGGCAATAAGCTCAAAATGCAGTCAGTTCTGCTAAGATCCACCTCTTCAAACTAAAATTTAAAATCTAACATAATTTCAATTCCCTCTTCCAGCAATCACCACCCCAGATGTGGAATTTGCAAGCAATCTCTCTGGAATTTCTTTGTCAGCACTAATGAGGCCATCCATATGATAAACTTCACATCCCCTTACTTTAAATGAAAATAACCTTGCCCAAAGCCATCCTTCTCTTTAAAGGCTAATTAACTCCTTGCTACACTCCCCTATAAAAAGAAAAAAAAAAAAACTTCCAGGTCCTCTGAGCAACTTTTGACTACATGGGCTGAAGCTCATTAACACCTTGCTATATAGTCCAAAGCTTCAAGTAGATTCTTACTGAGATGAACAAGGAAAAGGAAGGACTCAAAAACAGAACTTTTTTTCCCCATAGGCTGGTAAACAGAAGATTGAACAATCCTGATGACTCTAGGTCTGGACACAGATGCTATAAATTTCCCTGACTCGTTTTTATTACCAGCTCTTCCCCAGCCTGTGCGTTCCTACGCCATCTTTTTACAACTAACCAAGTTAACAACTACAGAAAATAGGAATTTCAGACCCTGAAAGCAGACGCGTTCAAACTGGAGCAGCGGTGGCCAGCCTCCTTGAGTTGTTCACTGATGTGCAAGCTGTAGCTGATGGGGCGCTCACAATTCACAATAATGGGCCGCGCCTGCATGGACCGTTGGACTTGCCTTCTCAGCCTATTAATAACGTTTAATTCCTTTTCTCTCAAATCCCAACCCTAAAATCCCAGACCCCTAGTTCTGGCACCTCGGTGTCACTCGTGCCCAGAAATGTTGCCAGAGTTCTGCAGTCTCGTTCTGCAGGCTCCTTGCCTGCGTGACTCACCAGTGTCTGTGGAGTCCTCTATTCGATTTTGACAAGAGGGTCATCAAAGCCCGTTCCTAGGCTTGGCCGTTCTTAGGCTTGGCCGTTCCTAAGCTTGGAGGCAGGGCGCCTCTGGCCGGCCCTCCCAATCCCAGAGGAGCAGAGGGCAGAGAGTGGCTGGGTCCGCTCCCAACTTAACTCTGTGTTGTTAGACTGTGTGATCACACGGAGGCGCCCCTTTCCGCTCCCTTGTCCAGTAGCACTATTTTTTCTTTTAACCCATGAACCCTGACTTTTAGATTACTTATGTCGTGCATGGCTAGAGCTGTTAAAAGAGTCCGAACTCTTTCTGCTCCAGAGTTCGGACTCTAAAGGAAACCCTGGAACGCTCACCTACACACAGTAAACCTGCTTACCCGGCCTCCCGCCCCAGTGGCTTTTCCCCCAGCGGGATCTGGCACAGGGTCCGCACACCCGGGAACCCAGCAGTCACGGCCTCTTCCGATCTACTTGCAGTGGGGAAGTCCGAGGCTCTGGTCTTGGGCACCCACCAAAAGACACACAGATTCGGACAGATTCAGGGGTTCGAGTCCCGCCTGGAGGATTACGGAACTTCCTCCCCACCCCAAACCCCCTCTCCTCACAAACTCCCCGTCACCGCAACTGGACCAACCGTAAACACGCTGAGCAGCGGCTCCGTGACAGGCTCTCCTCGCGACCCCACTGATCGTAAGCACTGAGGCTGGACCAGGTCCGCACAAGCGCAGATAGAGTCCCAGCGTTCCCAGAGTGCCGCGCGGCGAGCCAGTGGCCAAGGAAACTACGTTTCCCGTAGAACACTGCCCGCGCTCCTTAAGCTCCCTCGCAGCATTTCCGCTTTTTGGAATGCGATTTATTGTCCTTGGATTGTGATTCTTAGGTAGGAGGATCACACTTGAAATTTACTGCAGAATGAATATGTCATCCTGCATCAAATTCCCATTGAACAAAAAACAGCTGTCAAAGACGCTAAAGTTGGAGAAACTTGCATATGCTCTGGGATCTCCTTAATTGTAAAATAATGTTGAAATCATACACGAAAATGTACTGATTTTAGAAAGATATGCATTGTGAAGTATTTAAAATTGACGTGAAATCCTTGTAAATTTATTTCGCAGATGTTTTTAGAAAGAGCAATGAGACAACTCAAACCTGGCAAATGTTATGTTTAAAAATATTAAAAGCAGAGGAGGGTATAGTGTTCCTTTTAAATTCAACGCTGCATAAAGAATTTAAGGACACCCAGTTATCTCCTAGGAATAATGTTGTGAAATAGGAATAATTAAAAGTAAATCACGGAAGTACTAAATGGGGAGCGGCGGGGAGTTCTCATGTATCAACCTAAATTCTGTCCAGTTCCTTTCTTTAAGATTAAAGGGAAAAGATGAGGGGAATGACAGAGTTTAAAATGTTTACCAAGAAGTAGGACTCGTTGTAGTTTATTAATTTTAGTCAAAAATGGTCTCGGTTACCAAGGCAAAGGGGAGAAATTTTAACTTTATACAGTTCAGAGAGAAATTTGTGCCGAAACAGAGAACCCAGTTTCTGCACATCAACATATATTTTTCAAATGTAAAATACGCAGTAAGAGGGAGCCTCCAGTACTAGTTAAAGTCAATTCAGTTATCTCCAGCATCCCTTTTTGCATTATAGAATAATCTTCCTGCCATGATAAAGGTCCAGGGAGAAGTAAAAATGAGAAGGTCAGTACCTGTCAGAGCCATCAGGGCAGTGGGCCAGAGAATCTTGAATCACCTTATTAGTGTGAGGAAGTAAGCTCTGTCAAAGAAGGATTAAATACACACACATACATATTACCTCTTTGCACATCTCATATCTGAGATCTGAAGATTTCAAATATACTCAACCACAGACCCAGACCTGCAAGTATTGAGAGGAGCAGGAAAAGACCCACCTCTTCCGAGTAATGCACTACAGGTTTTGATAAGGCAAGCCTTACAAAACTAGAGCCTGAGGAGAGTGTTCACAACCAACTATGCCTGCCACTGGGTCTCCCTCCCCAGTCTTCCCACCTGCCTCCCTCTCCAGATCTGGGCATGAAACATCAGAAGCAAAGACAGGTGGCAATGGAATTCACTTACTGAATATTTACCATGTGTCAGAAATAGTTCTAGGTACATGATATTTCTATATATGTTAATCAGTCATCCAAGGTGCTACTATCTTCATGATTTCCATCAAGAAAGATCCCTTGGAAATACAAACTATTAAAAATGGAGTGACCAACTGTTATCATAAATTTTTTAAAAGAAACCCTGAAAAAAAAAACATATAACCAAAATAAAATAAATAAATAAAAGTAAAAAAAAAAAAATGGAGTGACCATATGACCCTGCAATTTTACTCCTAGGAATTTACCCAAAGGACACAAAAACATTAATTCAAAATGAAACCTGCACAATGTTTCTTGCAGCACTATTTACAATAGCTGAGATATGGAGACAACCTAAATGTCCAAAAACACAAGAGTGGATCAAGAAGATGCGGTATATAAACAAAATGGCTCAAAATATGCACAAGCAATGAAAATAGATAAGCTCATGCCATTTCGGGAAACATCGATGGAGCTGAAAGGGGTAATGGTCAGTGAGATGAGTCAGAAGGAAAAACAAAAATATTGGATGATGTCACTTATAGGAGGTATACAAGGCAACTAAAGAAAGGGTAAAAAAAAAAAGACAAAATTTGCAGGCCACGATAGACCTGAAGCATATAGCATGGAAGGTGAGCTAGAGAGGGGTCAAAACAGAGGTGGGAAGAGCACAAAGGACTGTGGTAATGGTTCACAGGTGATGTAGTGATGGGAGGTTTATGGGGACTACAAATGAGGGGAGAAATCAATGATGTTCCCTTGACATAACAACATTTCTTTCTTTCTGATCAATATTGCTTATATTTCCTGTTCTTACTTTATTGTGTGACTAGAACTTGCAGTATTTATCCTGAATAAGAGTTACAAGAACAGACATCTTTCTCTTAAAGGGAAAGCATTAAATCTATCCTCATTAAATATAATGTTACCTTAGATTTTCTTGAAGATGATGTTTATCAATTTAAGGAAATATTAAGGAAATATCCACACTTTTCATATTTGATTAATAAATCTTTCACTATGAATAGATATTAAGTGTTGTCAAATGTGAGTCTTAATTTCAAAAAAGACTTTGCATTCCTGGAATAAAGCCAACTTGGTCATGGTGCACATTTTTTACTACATATGTGCCACTATCTAGTGAATTTTTTCTGTTTTTTTGCATGAAATTGACTTGTAGTCTTCATGTCTTACACTGTCTTTCTCTAGTTTGGGGTATTAGCTTTTTCTGAAATAACTGTTATTGAATTAGTCATAATTCTTCCTTAAGCACTTAGTAAAATATTCCAGTAAAACTGTAACAGGTACAGGTTTCATGGACTCCGCCCCCACTCCAGATGCTGGAACTCCAAATCCCATCAGTACCAAGAAGCACGCAGGGACGTGAGGGCAGAGCTGAGCAGCCAGGTTGGGATAAAACCGGACATGTGGGCTCTGGGGGGACCTGGTGGTTCACAGCTGATCGTTTTGGCGCTCAATCAGTTTGCAGCGTGCCAGTGGAGTCCAAGTCAGCAGAACTGATAGGACATCCTAGTTAACCTGTGTTTCTCTCCCTCTTTCCCTGGGTTATTCCTTTACCTTTCTCCTTATAAATAAATCCATTATTTAACCTTTTGAATGTGTCCATAATACGATTGAATCGTAAGAGCACGGGTGAAGACCCACAGACAGGCAACCCAATTCACATTGGGGCGCCCTGTAACAAAACTATCTATGATGTACCACAGATGAATTATTCTAATAGCAAAACTAAACTCTTTAAAGTCAAACTATCTGTGTTTAATTATTTGATAGATATAAACACTGAAAATAATTTTTTCCTGCTCACAAATTTATGATTATAAATGACAATGTTGTACTGTAGAGCAATTGCCTTTATAAAGGTCAACTACTCTTTTATATTTTTCTCTTACTCCCATTGCTGTTGGTGAAATGTGACAATGAGTCTGTTTCTTGGTTAATATGATGTTCAGATTATTGCTTTTACTCTGTCCGAGCCTCAGAGAAACTAAACAGTATAGTTTAAAAAATTATGATTTTAATACTTGATCATTGGGAAATTAAGAAAACAATTACATCTAAAATAGCACTGATACGAATAAATAATGGGAATAAATCTATGCAACAAACATAGGTGAATCCCTACATAGGGCTTCCACAATTATTCAAAAAGAAGGCCAATGACTTTAATGCATCTCATTTTTATCATATAAATGAGAGATATGCCAGTTGAGTGAAATCTTCTTAACCACAACCAAAATTTGCATGAGACTCAGGGCAGTGTTAAAACAGATTAATACTTTTCTTAATAAGTCTGTTTTCATTATATATGAGTGTCCCCCAAACATGTTACTATCAATTTGTAAAGAAACTGATGTAATACATCAATCTTTTTTATCTCCCCAGGTATTCACTCAGAGAAAAGTCACCCTGAATATAAGGAAATTCAATTTAATAAAATAGAGACCAATATCAATGGTGTGGTGTTACCCTAGTTCAGAGAACTTCTATTTCAGGAGAGAAAACTTTGGATCAAATATCACATTTCTGAGAATATCACAGAATTCACAAGAATGAAACCTCTTGAATGTGTGTTGGGGGTGGGCAGAAATCAGCCACAATTTATCTATTATAATGAATCAGAGAAACCACACAATGACAACACCTTGGGAAATAATACAAATCGTGTAATTTTAAGTCATCCTTCAAGATACAACAGAGAACTCCCAGAAAGCAAAAACATGATTGCAATAAATGTCAAAAATCCCTCTCTAGGAAGTTGGCACTATAGCAAATAAAAATCTCACATAGGAGAGAAAACTATGAATGTAATAAATGTGGGGAAGCTTTTTCACTTAAATCTAGTGTTAAATGTATGAGCAGTATGTCCCAGAACACATGTGAGGAAGAAACCCTATAAATATAATGAATGTGGGAAAATTTCAGGCAGAAGTCACATTAAAGTGTTCCATGAATCCACTCGCACAGGGGAGAAACCCTATGAATATGATGAATGTGGGAGAGTGTTCACCTTCATTTCCTATCTTCACCTACTTCTCAAAAGTCACAGGAAATTCTTTAAATGTGACACATATGGGAAAACACAAAGCTAGATGTCAAACCTTAATAGACATCAGAAAATTAACATGGTGAGGAATCCTGTGAAAGTGATAAGTGCCAGAAAACTTGTAGTCACAACAAACACCTCCATATACATCAGAATATTCACAGAGAAATCTTCTGAATAATGAGTTTGAGAGAGCTGTCACCTCCATCATATCATATCTAATAATACATCAGAGAAGCCATACAGGGGAAAAGTCCCTATATGTGATAAATATTCATACTTTCCTCAGAAAATCATAACTCACTGAATGTCAGAGAAGCTATAAAGGGAAGAAAACATAAATGTGATGAAACTTTCAGCCTGAGTTCAACCCTTGGAGATCATCGGAGAACAGTCTCATAAAGTCTACAAGAGTGATGAATGTAACGAAATGTCTACAAAGTCAAATCTAAGAGAACATCAGAGAATACACACATAGGAGAAACTCTGTAAGTTTG